AAAAAAAAAAAAAAAAAAAAAAAAAAAAAAAAAAAAAAAAAAAAAAAAAAAATATCCTCCTCAAAGTCGTATGATGTATACCTATATCCTATAGACGATCGTCATCGGTACACATAATTATTAAGCGTATCATCTACGTGATATACCATACCGATCTACCCCTATGCTATATATATATGTAATATACATCACGTGATTTGTTGATGTATATGTAATATATAGTCACCTCGCACGAGTCCTTCTGTCCGTTCGCGTAGCCGGCGCACATGAAGCTGTCGAGTATGAGCTTCGAGTGGCCGGCCGTCTGGAACATCTCCTGGCACACCGAGTTCTCCATTATCGGCACCTTGACCTCTTGCAGCACCGACGGCACGCCTCCGTCTAAGGCAATGGAAAAAGGACCCATTGGTTTTCTCTTGGTGGAAGCACACGGTGTTGTATAAAAGAGGAAAGAAAACAATAAATCGACTTAACTGTACTTGAGACGGCCCCAGCCGGTGACGGTGGCCATGCGGTTGACGTAGTCGGTGTTGTCGTTGGGCATGCAAATGGGCACGATGTGCAGGTCGAAGAGCACCGGGGTCTCGAGCTCCAGGAGGGCCAGGTCGTTCTCGAAGGTAGCCGGGTCGTACGCCCTGTTGACGATGACGCGGCGCACGTTGCGCGTTAGGCTCCGCCGCGACTCCAACTCCCCGGATATGTCGAACTCGCCAAACACCGCCACCAAGGACGCCAAAAACCTTGAAACCCCCACCCAATTTTCATACACATACAAACAAATTTGTATATATATATGGCTTGTGAACCCGTGATGCGTCTTACCCGGGCTGACAGTGGGCGGCAGTTATGACGAACTTGTCGGTGATGAGGACGCCGCCGCATTTGTTTTTCGTAAATAGCCCCAGCCAGGTGGCCTCCCTCACCAGCACCTGCCACGGCCACTCGCCAAAGGTCGCCCCCTTACCACCGACTATCCGACCCGTCTTCACCAGCGGCCTCACCCCGCATACTGCGACCAATCATCATTTTCTCGTTAACATCGCATAAATGACACCTATACATTACAATGTGTTATTGGAGGAAAACTCACTGGTGCGAAAGTCCGCGTTGGAAGTGATCTCGGGGAAGGGCGTGGTGGTCGAGGGCTCGATCGGCTTGCTGGCCTCCTGGATGGTCGTGGTGGTGGTGGTGGTGGTGGTGGTGGTCGGGGTCGCAGGGGTCGGGCTCTTCTTGACCGGTTTGGGACGCCTGGTCGTCGTGGTCGATGGTTTGCCCCGGGGCGTGGTGGGCCTTGGCTTGGGCGTCGTGGACGGTCGCCTCGTGCTGCTCCTCGTGGGGGATGGCCGGCTCCCGAGGAACGGTCTCTTGGTCGGCTGCTGCGTCGTCGCGGGTCTCCTCGTCGAGGTGCTTGTGGTGTTCTTGGAGTTGTAGACGACGTCCTTGAGGTTCTCGAAGTTGTCCTTGAGCGACTCGACGATTTTGTTGACGAAGACGTCGACCTTGTTGTCGAGCTCGGCGTCCTCGACGAACTCGGGGCTGGGTATCTCGTCGGCGCTGACGATCTCGGGCTTGTTGTCCTGGTGGGCGGAGTCGAGCTCGGGGTGGCGCACCGGGGGGAAGTTGTTGTTGACGTCCTCGGGCCCGGGGGTGTCGTCGTCGCAGCTGTTGGTGGTGGTGGTGGTGGTGGTGATGGGCGGTGGGGTGGAGGTAGTCGACGAGATGGGCCGGAGGTGGAAGCTGGGCTTCTCCGACCAGGTGGTCAGGGTCGTGTAGATGGTCGAGGGCCGTTTGACGGTGGGGGAGGGCCGAGCCGTCGAGGTCCCGTCCTTGAGGTCGACGCTTATGTAGCTGACCGAGAGCACCTGCTTGTTGCCCGAGATGACGGTGCTGATGTTGTGGGTGAGGGTGGTCGCCACGCCGGGGGGCTTCCTTATGATGTTGCTGGGCCTTGGCCCGGGGGTGGGGGTGCTGCTGGCGTACTCGGTTCCTAGGGGTCCGAGGACGATGACGGTCGGTGCGGGTGGGTTCGTCGTGGGCCCGATGCTGCTTCCGGTGTACGAGGTGCTCAGCGGTGGGGAGCTCGAGGAGGGGAAGTACGGACTGCTCAGCGGTGGAGAGCCCGAGGAGGGGAAGTACGGGCTGCTCGACAGTTGGCCCGAGTCGGTGATGTAGTGGTAGTAGCTCGGGGAGAGGGAGGACGGCCCGTAAGTGGGTGACGAACTGCTGACGATGATCGGCAGGGGCTCGGTGGTGCTCGGGGGCAGGGAGTGCGTCGTTATGATCTTGAAGAGCGTCGGCACCGATGCACCCGTGCCGTAGCTGTTGCCGTAGCTGTACGACGTCGTGGTCGGCCCACCCGAACCTACAATTCCAAACAGACAATTGATGTTAATGCGGTTCGTGTCGATCGCTGCTGACCAAGGAAATGGCTTAATAAGAATGAATGGAAAAAAAAAAAGTAACATCGGCATAAAATTATTGTGATCAACTCGTTGTTATTTAGCTGTTACGATAGTTTGTGCGGCGACACGGATTTTTAAACCACACGGACGCGTTTTCAAGAGCCCCGGCGCGAGAGACGTGTCTCGATGGTCGCCATTCCTATATATGTGGGGCCGCTTTCTCTTCCTCGTCATATTTGAACGACGAGACAAGTCACGCGACAAGTATATATATATATACCCCACCCGATGTAAGCGACGATACGTATACATATTATACACGTTTACCGCGAGAAAACTATTTTTTTTTTTTTTTTTTTCTCAATCCGCAAATCAACACAGGATATCATTCGAGCACGAAATTCTAGTCCAGAGTGAAACCGAGGGCCCAGGATGAGCTTAAAGAAACAAAGATGGGGGGGGGGGAAACTGACCCAAAGCAGCCTTGGTGGTCTTGGTGTCGTTGAGTATCGAGATGATGTGGTTGATGGCAATCTCCTCCCGGTCCGTCTCCTCGTGCTTCTTCTCGTTGGCCGGTTGGCCGGCGTACGTGATGGTCGGCACCCGCACCAGCTCCTCGTCCTCCCCGCTCCTCGTGCTCAAGCCCAACGGAGTCGTCGCCTCCACCGATTGCATCGGCCTCGTGCTCTTCTCCTCGTACCCATTGATCCTCGTGGTGGCCGTCTTGGGCTCCAACCCCATGGACGGGGTGTGGGTATCACCCAGCCTCGTGGGCCGGAACAGCTCGTCCGGGTCGTCCGAGCCGTGCTCGATGGCCGTGCCGTTCTCGTTCAGGAGAATAGTGTCGACGAGCGTGCCGTTGGCGTTCTGGGTGCTGGCGGTGCCGTTGTTCTTGGGCAAGCCGTGCGAGAAGAGGGCCGGGAGCTGGTCGACGGGGTCGGCCACCTGGAGGATCTGGTCGGGGCTGAGGAGCGTGGTCACGGGGTTGACGGCTGGCGTGACCCGGTGGGGCTCGTCGGTGATGTCGTTGCCCGAGTGGCCGATGAGGGAGGGGAGCTTGAGGTCGTCGAGGGCGTCGTCGGGCCCGAGGAGGGTGGAGAAGGTGTCCTCGGTCAGTTGGGACTTGTCGGTGGTCGGGCCGAGGGGCGTGCCGTCGGGGTTGAGGAGAATCGGCAGATCGGGGACGTGGTCGACCGCGTGGTGGGCGTCGGTGGTGGTGGTGGTGGTCCTGTCGTGGGCGCCGGCGGGCAGTTGGCAGCAGGCGCCGAAGAGGAAGCCGTCCATGCACGTGCCGACGACCTCGCCCCCGTGGCTGCTGCACTCGTAGTTGAACATGCAGATCGCGCGCGCCTCGGACTTTAGCCGACCTGGATTCTCCGGCCGGCAGGCCTTTGGTGCTATTCGGTAGCCGCCGAATAACTTTCTACCTGCGCAACAAAACACACGGCCCATCTCGTAGCTTTTAACCATGCATATACATATTATATTTATTATGTGTGTGTGTTGCCAAGTGGAATGTGTGTTTTTACGCGCGTTGACTGTGTACCCTACTTACCTTTGGGTTGCGATGGATGTAAAACCGATGCCAAAGTCACGGCGAAGAGGGTGACCAGCACGTACATCACTTTTTCACGCACCATCTGTACAAATTAAACGGTGCTATGGAATAGTGCAGGATATGATTGAGCTGATGCTCATACTTTAAAGGTATACAGATTGTGCTTCTACATATTATGGTGCAAAAAGTTGGCGATTTTCAAGGATTGGATGTGTTGCTTATTAATGGGCAATGATATCAATTTCGATGCAGGAAGGCGGAATTTATCTTTGCTATTTGAGTATCAAAATATGGTTTGTCTTTGGCACAAATGAGCCTTACTTTTTTTTTGTCAGCAAAAATAAGCAGTAACGGCGAAAAAATCATTTTTCTTCCGTACACCTTTTTTTTCTGTGTAAAATCACCCCCCATCGCTCCCTAAACGGCAAAAATACACTTTTATCGACCAACATGTCGTTAAACATGTTTTTTGGGACGTTCAAGGTTGTAGAAGGTCGCATATCACAGTTGCACTTTATCCGAAATAGAATTGTGGTTTATAAAACCGTTTGCCAAACATACCAAATGCAAAAGCTTATAGTCCATCCCCCCCACATCGTTCACTCCATCAAACGACTCCTTGCACAACAGGCATGAGGTATGTGTACATAACAGTACACGCATTTGCACGCCAGCCGTATACTGTTTGTCGAAAAAAAAAAAAAAAAAAAAAAAAAAAAAAAAAAAAAAAAAGTGCAAAGACAAACACGCACCAGGTAAAAAAGCGCGTGATTACGTTTTCACCACTTGTCCAAAGTGCCAATGACGCGCAAAATCGCGTACGTCACGCGGGAAAAGATTACGGGTACATGAGTACGTGCATATATTGGGAAGGTACACAAGCAGGCTTGTACCTTCGGAGAAAAAAAAAATAAAGGGAAAAAAATTTGCTCGGTAAGGGTGATAATGACAATGAGCGCGCGCGGCACATCCAAGGAGTGTGTTTAAACAACACGCATAACTTGAAGAAACCTGTTGGCTCAAACCGATGTATTCCGTGTCCGGTATATACCTGTCTACGCCGAGTTGTCAACCGTTACTAAAAACTGTCTATTCATCAAGTGTCCGTATTCACACCGTAGCGCGCGTTTTGCGCCCAAATACCATTCGTACGTACGTATACAAATATATACGTGTAATTTTCCCAAGCGCCGAACCCACGAGGAATTTTAGATTATCTCTGCATAGTCGCCGCATCTTTATTAGCATACCTCTCTCTCTCTCTCTCTCTCTCTCTCTCTCGTTTTCCGCTTTCTCTTAGTGAGTAACAGTTTTTTTTTTTTTTTGTTTTTTTGTTTCCGGCGCATATTTCACTCGCTAACTGCAATTCGATCGATCGGACGAAGGAAAATTGACGAGCCGAACAAGGAGGGCATCGGGAAGCCGGAGGCCGAGACCACGATTTTCCGCTTAAGTGAATAATGAGCGAAATTGCAGCTCTCTGTGAGCGTGTGTACTTTTACAAAGACGCGGGTACGCGGTGGCTGCACGAGTTGCCTAAAAAATTGATATCCTGTACATGTATACGTGTACAAGTACATGGATTACAGTAAGCAGGCCATTGGGAAATCGGTGTCTATGCGCGCCGGAGCATACCGATCGATTCCTACTCCTTTCTCTGTCTGCGCTGTACCTACCGACTACCGATCTCTCTCTCTCTCTTTTCTCGGCTCATTTGGTGTGTAATATATAGTATATATACATATAAATGTTTGGAAGCGCACGCAGCTATGTATACGCGCGCTTTCTCCCCGCGAGAGAGGAGACTGTTTTTTTTTTCTCTCTTTTTTTTCCTTCATACAGCTTTACGGTCAAGCTACAAGGTATACTTGTACGGTCGCGCGCGCCGATTTCGATTGCCAACTACTTGTATATACACACACACACACAGAGAGAGCAGTTGTTGCGGCTACCCGCGGTGCGAAGCGCTTCCGGGTTTAATAAGCCGCTCGGTGCACGCACGCGCATACTTACTGTATAAGATGTAGCCGCGCGATCGGTGTATCATAAACGTGGACGGGTAAATCACGTTTCTGGGTCATTTGCGAATTTCGAGGGCTCCTGCGTAGCGGGTTTTTACACCCACCGCGCCGCACGGGCCTCGCCAACCTGTTACCTATAGCGCGGAATTTTTTTCTTTTTTTTTCTTTCGTTCGAATCTTTTTACATGTGTCATTTGGAAGGGGGGAATAAAAAGGGACGGAGAAAGTGCTTGTGGGATGGTTACTAGTTTTCAGTTGAGACGTACCTTGGAAAATGTGTCCTCCGTTGGGATGAACCAAACAAAACGTAACAAGAACAAATTTATATAAAAACAACAACAACAACAACAACAACAACGAGAAAAAAATGCGATGCTCAGTTATCGATGCGCATAATGTCGTTTCGTGCACTTTGAGCGTTTAAATGCGGACAATAATGACAATACAATGTCGTCACACTTGTGCGAGATGAAAAAAAAGAAAAATAAAAAAAAAGAGATTTTAAACTGATACTCGTTGAAGCGCCGAAACCTCGTTTGCACTGATTCGGCATAAATACGGCACTGTACGAGTGTACGAACCGGTAAAAAAAAAAAAAAAAAAAAAACTCGGTCGGACGAGGGATCGTGAAAATCGGTATCGGCGATTTATCATATACACGCGCGCACACAGACACACACACACTTATAGGGCGATTGACGAGACGAAATATTTACAATGGATCGCGGGTGTTAAACAAATGGTTGCAATGTGTCGCGTTACTCTACGCTCCTCTCGTCATCCTTCCGGCCGTTCGGGTGGATGGTACCTGTCCGACTAGATGAGACGCACAGACGGACGGACGCGGCATGTGCTACTGCGGCGAGATGAGGTGCCGTGCGTGGTACCCCGGCCACGCAGTCATAAGCGGCGCCTCGATTGGTGAACGCTCTCTCTCTCGCCGATCGCCGCGAGAGAGAACTCCTTACCGATAAGACCGACCTCGTGGTGGTAACTGCCTATTGGTGGTGGTAAAAGCTGCAGTATAAGTACATGCTTGTACATTATACATGTGTATATATGTGTAGAGGGACCCAGCGCAGATCCACCGCTAACATCGTACAGGTATACCGAGGTTGTACATATACCTACTCTGTGTAACCACAGAATTGAATTGAATTGAATTGAATTGAATTATTTATTAAGTACCAAGGACTCAGGGGCCCTATATGGTACATGACAATTTCGTTACATACAGTATAGAGTAGTAGTATACAGTACAGAGAGAGAGAGAAAGAAATAACTTACGGGTACATCCGTATACAGTACCAAATTGGAATTACAATAACTCCCATCACGGGAATAATATCGAAATTCGAGCGTATGTACGAAACGTGTGTAATATATAGTGTATATGTATAAGATAAAGAGGCGCTTATAATGGGAATCTTGGATCGTTATGGCCCACATGTGTACAATGTATAAATCGGTATGCCAAACGAGTCAGGCGAGAGGGCACACGTGACATATATATACATTTACGATGTCTCGGTAAGTAGGTACACATACGAATAATATGTAGTACAAAGTAAGTACGCGAACGCGGTGTCCCCGATTCGGTCAAAATACGTGTAAACGATTTCTCCCGATTTTCGGCCGAATTTTCACTCTCGGCCCATTGTCCCGGAAATTTCACCCAATCTATCCCTGGGAATCTTGACTTTTTTCGCGCATACTACACCGGCACAATGTTAAATAGTATATAATTGAAAAAAAAAAAAAAAAAAAAAAAAAAAAAATAGCATTCAAGTTCAAGGTGGGAGACGAAGGAAGGAGGGGGGAGCGTGAAAATCACACGGAGAGAAAGAAAGAAAGAAGCGAGCGAAAGAGCCGGTGTGTGCGTGTGTCTGTATTCGAAGGGGGCGAGGAGGAGGAGAGGAGAGAGAGAGAGAAGAAAGGAGAAAGCAAAGTGGGCCAGTGGTCAGGTCAGTCGAAGCGGAAGGGGGCCGCTAACGCGTGCACGACAGCGACACACTGTCCTACTCATCGCTCGGCGCGGCAACTGCTGGCCAAGGACCCCCGAGGAGCCGCTACACCATACACCTACATACACATATACACATTGTACTTGTCTCTCACTCCAAGTGGATGTGTGCGTGTGTGTGTGTGTATAGCGTAGCTTCTTCCTCCTTCTCCTGTCCCTCTATACTTTTTTCATTTTATTTTTTCTTTTTTTTTCTTTTCATTTTATCATCTCCTTTACTTCCTTTTTCTTTCGTGCCTCGAGTAAGTACATATATACTTATACCCATTCAAGTAACCTTCACCGACAACTCGTGTGAACATTGTACGCGCTCGACCGGGAAACTTTCGGACGTGATAATTATGCTCCCCCCTTCCCAGGTACAGGCTAGCTGTCGCGCGATTTGCATTCCATTATAACGTACTTACTTCGTGAGTGTGGCGCCGATTCCCTCGGGGTGCGAATTCCGCGCTCGGCCTACATAAATCGGCGAATTTTCAGCTTCGCCCTCCATCGATTGGATCAAAGTGACGATGCGCGGATTTTTCCATCATCCGTACGACGAGGGGGGTATTCCATGGTTTTCCGCGTGCGCGGTGTATGTAGCGGATTTTTTTTTTTTTTTTTTTTTTTTTTTTCGAGAAGCACGTGGAGCGCGTCGAGCAATTTGCGTTTTTTCAACTTTTTCACGTAAAACTAGCTCGTTAATAATCACCGCGCGCGTATACTTTACACGTAGAGGTCCTTCCTGGCGCGGCTCGCGCACCTGCTTTCCTCGGCTCGGTGATCCGCGATGAGAAATTTTGAAAAAACAAAGAATTCGCTTGCTCGGTCACGTGGCCGATTTGTCCCCGGCTGGTTTGCCTTTGATGCCGATCCGTTTAGGTGCTTTATAGACCGAGACTCGGAAATCTGGTGCATATCTTACACTCAAACAATACATCGTTATGAAATAATAGTTTGTGAAATCTACCTGATGCGTGTCTCCTCTACTGTCTTTTGTTTTTTTTTTTTTCTCTTCCTTGTTCGAGATTTTTCCTTTTTTTTCTTTTTTTACTTTGGAAAAACTTTCAATTGTACCGCGTGAAACGTACAGCAATTGGCGACTCTCGAACGAGATCTGTACCATGGGAAGTTTTGGCTTCGAGGTAAAAAAAATTCAAAAACCACGAATACGCGAATGACCCAGTAACTGGACAGAATCCGAAAAGCTATACCAACACCATCTTAAATAGTTTCATTCAAACATGCTCGAGGTAATCTGCGAGCGATTCAGTAAAAAAAAAAAAGTATTTACTTCGATACACAATTGAAACAAAATACGACGCTTTTGCACACCCAGCGGGGGCTATAACGATACGTAAGTACATTGAACGGGCGGGAAAAAAAAAATTTAATCAAATGTTAACTAAAAAGGTTAGCTATTGTAATACGATTTGTATCAGTTAGAGCATTGAGTAGCATTTTACAAAGCAAAAAATCTGCGGCTTGGGTATCTGTATTCTGAAATGTACACTAAAAGAGTTAATCAAAAATGACTTTTTTCATTCAGGCAGTATTATAGGATGACAAAGCGTAAACCAATTTATGGTACAAAAAATTTTAGTTTTTTTTTTCAAGGTCCACGTGTCCAACAGTTTTTCGAAAAGTTCTTATTTGTTTTTTGTAGCTGTTGGTCTTAAGCGCAATTGCTTTTGATCTTGAAAAGTCAAGACAATATAGAATCGTAATTGACGAGCTGACAGCTGTTCTGACTATACCACGGGAATTTGCTATTGCAGGTCCGTGACAGTTTTATGCTAACGATAGGGAAATTTTTTTCTAATTTAAAATCATTTACTGTTGGAGATCGAGATTTTTGGTGTTTGAAAACAAGATTGAGAATTCTTGCCAGGATGTCGATAATACCTGTATAATGTGTCAAGATAATATCAAAACTGTGTATACGAGAATAGTCCAAGAAGAAGACAAGATTCGAATCTTTAGAATTTTTCGAGAACAGCACTAAGATCTTTGGAATCTCGTAGTGTCTCGTCTTGGTTGCTCAAGTACACGCAAAAAGTGCAATTGGTGGATGACATCAATTTTGAAATTAAAATTTCTTTTATGAATTAATTTATTTTCATGGGCATGGTTACACTTTTTTGTACGTTAAATTACACGGTTTTTCTCATAAAAGCAAGGGTTTTTGATCAAAGTATTTCCGATCCCACATAGGTGCTTATATCTCAAAATAAATGTATTGACAGTTGTATTTATATTCCCCTTATTCTTTTGCACTCCCCAGTAAACAGTCACTGAAAAATTACATAAAATACAAGCGGTAGAGAAAACTTGTAAAGTCATGTTATTTAAATAAACTCTTTTTTGTTGCACCTCGGTAAATAGCCAATGTGATACATTTTTAACACTTAATCGCGAATGTCCATTTTACAATGTGTCAGCTACCGGCATGATAGACAACAAATAAAGAAAGTTTTATTTTTTAAATAAATCCTTGTTTCTGATTATCGTTTGAAATACTTTTAAATGGCACTCAACAAGATATATTGCATTAAATTTTTATGTTTTCGGTATTGACGATGTATGTCTTTTTGATGATAGCTTGAGGCGAGTCACTGGGTCATTAACCTTACGTATTTGGTGGAATTTTTTCCCCCCAAGTTGACATTGGATGAGAGAGCAAAAAAAAAAAAGTTTCTACTTGGATTTCGAATTTCCTTCGCGAAGTCGTGAGTCGGAAAAAAATGTACGGAAACAATAAAAAATTACGGACAAATCCGTGTCGATGCGCTAAACGTGCCTCTCATATCTTATGAGAAGGCGAAGACGAACTGGCTTTCTCCAGAGCCACTTAACCCGATCCAGTAACATCCATCCATGAATTGTCACTTTCGCGACATCTTCGATCACGAACGTTCTCGTGGCATCTTGTGATTGTTTGCGAAAAATTTTCACAATAAACCAACGTTTTAATATGTGGTTAAAATTAGTTTTCTTATTGTTCAATTTTTTTTTACCGGAAAAAACGAAATGAAAAAATCCAAGTGGTTTGTTTCCCAGTAAATTTTTTTTTTTTTTAAGTCAAAAGTTGACATGGTTATATGAAACGTAAATTTTGTTTACATCGTTAGGTTCGAAAAATGGTCTGTTGTAGGAATCAGTAGGATGTCTAAAGAGATTTTATAAAAAAAATACAATTGTTCACGTTGTGGTAATGTTTTTTATTCTTTTCATTTTTTTGTGTATATAAAAAAAAAAAAAGAACATCAGCAATTATAAAGAGAGACTTTTGAGTTAAAACTTAAAAAAAGGGATACTTATAAAACTACACGATAATATATGTATATAGAAAAAAGAGTTTGGTCTTTACAAATTCGTATGAATAATAAGTACATACACATAATATATAGTATTCCTAACGTATATATTGCAATAAATAGGCGAGATTCTTAAAACGTAAATTAAAATTAAAGAAAAAAAAAAAAAATTAAATTAAATTTCTCTTCGTTAAATAATGTTATTTATCTATAAAAACAAATCGTCGTTTGATAAACAATAAAGTATATTTACAAGGTCTGGCAAAACCAGTAATAGTATTAATGGAGCGACGAACTTTGCTTATTTAATTAGTAGTAGTAGTAAGCGCCTGCTGCACAGTTCATAGCATAATATACTTGGCAGCGTCACTTGGATCGAGAGAAAAAAAAAAAAAAAATGAGAGAGAGCGCAGTGGCGAACAACAGATCACTGTAAAAGTTTTCAAGATCGATCACAGTCCTTTCGTGCTATATTGTCTCTGTCCGATCGAATGTCACTTGATTCAATTTAGTTAGTCTGGCATCGCGCGTCGAAGCTTCGTTTCCTCAGAACTGCAGAATCTGGTTGATCCATTCGCGGAACTCCGAGATTCGCGTGTAGACGCCCGGTTGGTTGGGCTCCGCGCAACCGATTCCCCAACTAATGACGCCGGCCAGCATCCATCGCTTGTCTCGTTTCCTCTGTATGACCAACGGTCCGCCGCTGTCGCCCTGAAAACAAAAAACCATTTATCCCTCGATCCGATTTTGGCACGGGTGTATGATCCTATCGATACCGATATCTCTCACCTCGCAAGAGTCGAAACCTCCGTTTCGCCAACCGGCGCATATGAAGATGTGAGGGATGTGCTCAATGTATCCAGCATTCCTGTACATGCCCTCGCATAGGGAATTGTTTATCACCGGCACGGCCACTTCCTGCAATACCGACGGCAGTGGACCATCTGCAAGTCAGCGCGAAATCAAAGAGTTAATTTTTGAAAAATCGTGGATGGTGCGCCATGTATAAACGATCTAAGGCGCAATCATAGGTGGTGGATTAATTGATAATGATATAAGGTACCCTCGTAGAGCCTGCCCCAGCCGGTAACGTAGGCCGTCTGTCCGACGTAGCTCTCGTCGTCGTCTGGCACGCAAATCGGCAAAACGTTCGGCTGGAAGGGCAAAACCGGCTCGTAGAATCGCATCAGTGCCAAGTCAAATTCGAACGTCCGTGGATCGAAGTTCGGGTGACTGGCGACTATCTGCACCCGCCGCTCCTGGAAACTGTACGGCTCCTCTTCGTTGGCCAAATCGTACTCGCCGATCCGCAGTAACAGATCGCTCGGCAGTACTCTGTAAATTTAATGGACATTATTACGTCAACCCTAAACTACTGTTTTTTTGGTACGGCGTGACTTAACCGTGTAAAATTTACGTACTTTTGTACACAGTGAGCTGCCGTGATGGCCCAGTTCTCGTTGAGCAGAGCTGCCCCGCATTTGTGCAAGTACGTCGATGTTCGCCACTGACGAAGGGAGATCTGAAAGAACAATGTTTTCAACTGTAAACGAAAGTTCAACGAAATGGTAATTCCCTGAAATGGCCATCTCATGTCTAGATCGTGATTTTATCACAAATCAGATTTTTTATTTTTTTTTATTTCTTTTAATGATTATTAATAAAACCAAAATAATTACTACTACAAAGTAATTGATGATGGAAAAAAAAATGTGATTTCGTAGATAATAAGATGACTTTGTACGTGTTCCCGAGGGGACATTACAAAAGAAGAAGATAAGTCCCACACGTAAACACACACACACACACGGGTATATTATATATATGGAGCACAATTAAAGGACTATATATGTATATATATAACGTGAGGAGCCACAGAAGAAAGAAGAGAGCTACGGCGCGAGGACGTAGAGTGATAAATAAAATGTTTCTTTACCTGCCAAGGCCACTTGCCGAAGGTGCTGCCGTTGCCCCCGACGATCCTCGCGTCCGGGAACAATCTTCTGCCGCAAACTGCAAGTATAAACATAGTCGAGTTCATTTGTCGGAGTATGTTCGCGTGTCTCATCGCGGCGGCCATATTAGCGAGCCCGCATTACCGAGCAGGTATACCACGACGTATGGCTCGCACGTCGGATCGTACGAGACGAACCGGTATCATTACTCTTTCCGTCTCACTCTCTCGCGCTCGCACTTGTATCACGCGCCCTCGGTTTCTCTCACGCTCCCGAGCATCTCTCTGCCTCTCTCTACTACCGATCGCCTGTCTCGCAACGCGCGCGAGATACATCCGACTGTGCTACCGATCGGTCCTTTATTTTCGAACATTTGGATGGAAAATCTTTTACGTTCTTACCATCTTTGAAACTCGACATGTTGATGGGAGCGATCGTACTGTCGGCAAAGTCCGGGGACGCAGTGACCGTCGCCACCGTGGACAATTGCTCCAGGTACGTCGTCGCCTGGCTCGTCGTCGTCGTCGTCGTCGTCGTAGTCGACGTCGTTGAGGCACGCGGAGTTGTACTCTCGGCTACTGGTTTATCTGCAAACACAATTTTTTTTTTCCCCCTCATCAGCCTGTGACTCCAAAAAAAGTATATAGTACATGTCAAAAATAACAATGATTACTTGTAACGATCGGCGCCTGAGTCGCGGGAGGAGCCGCCGATTCCGCGTCGGGCTTGTCCGCGGTCGGCGACTGGATGATTATCCACCCATCGGGAGTCGTCAGAGGGACCCAATCCGTTTCCAGAGTTTCTGCAAAATAACGACATCGGCATTATTGTCGCGGACGCTTTTCGCAACCGATTCCTCAGCGAGTAGTTGTGTTACCTGACGTCTCCGATGTGGAGTTGGTCGAGGTCTTGGTGCTGTTCTCGACTTCGTCCGAGACCGACGTCCACGTCACGATACCCGGCACCGGCGTTGTCGCGTTCGCTTCCGCCGTCGAAACACTGGGCGTGGGGTCCGTGGTGTTTTTGTGGTCCACCATCGGGGTTGTTCCGTCACTGGACGAATCCACCAGAGGCTTGTGCCTGGTCACAGTTGTCGAGGGTGGAACCGTAGAACTCGTGGAGGTGGTCGTCGTTTCCGGGCTGGTCCTCGGGGTCGTTGTGGTCTTACTGCTCGGTTGGCCCGTCGTCACCGAGGAAGACGATGGCCCGGCAGTCGGGACCGGTTTCTTCGAGCTGCTCGTCACTTTTGGTGGAGTCGAGGTGCTGCTCGTCGCGTTCTTTTTCACACCCTGAGTCGTCGGCCTCCTCACGGTTGTGGCTTTCGTCGTCGTGGCGCTGGACGGCTTCTTCGTCGTTGTCGGCGTCGACGGCGTGGTCGACGGCTTCTTGGACGACGTCACGGTCACGGGTCTCTTGGAGCTCGTGGTCGTGGACGCAGTGGAGACGTTGTGGAGAACTAGCGAGACGGCTGGTTTCGACGTAGTCGGGACCTTTATGGTCGTGGCCGCGGAACTCGCGGTGGTAATGCCGGCAGAGGCAACCGTAGCTGCGATCGTCGTGGCGATGACGGGAGGAGCAGCCGTTGGGGTTGGTTTCTTGGAGATGGTCAGGAAGATGGGCTTCTTCGTCGTGACTCTGCTCGGCTTTTTCGTCGTCGATGACTTTTTGGTTGTCGTCGGCGCCACCGTTGTGACGGCACCTTGTTGGTGACTGTCGATCGAAACAGACGACACGGGCACCTCCGTGGTCGCGTTTCTCGGTGGGAACCTGGTGGAGGAGGAGGAAAACAACTCACTGGGCTTTGTAACGTCAGTTGTCGGTGTTTTGTTTGTCGATGACGACGGCGGGGATGAGGTGGGAGCGTGATTGGTGGTGTTTCGATGCAAGGTTGTTTCGACGGAGCTCGGTTTCGTCGATCCGGTCGACAGCGGCGTGGCTGCTGTGCCGGGCCTCTCGGTTGGACTGGCCATCGACGGTGGCTTTTTGCTCGTCTTGTCGAGAGCCAAGGTCGAGGATGCAGTTGTCGACGTGCTCGGCGAGGTAACCAAAGTGCCGGTGCTCGAGGATGAGGAGATCGAAAGCATCGTCGGAGCTGGTTTGGGTCCAGCAGTTGCGGGCTTTGCGTCCGGGGAACTGGGCCTCTGAATTTTTTTGGTCGGCACGGAGGATGCGGTGGTAGCAGTGGAGGCGGGCAGGGGGCGCTGGTGGGATGAATTCTGGACGCTCTGGAAGGTCGACAGTTTGATGGATTCCGTGGTGAACTCGGTCACCACTGGCTTTTTGGTCGCTGCTTTGGAAGGCTTGGCCTTGGTCGCTTCGGTCCTGAAGGTCGAGGTCGTCGCCTCGGTTGTTCTAACGAATGGCGTCCCCAGGGAGGTCGACTGCGTCGTCGAGAGCTTTTGGTTGTCCACGTTGCCAGGGATGTCGTTGCTCTCGACCAAGTGAGTGGTGGTGGTTGTGGTGGTGGTGGTGGTAATGACTTGGGGTTTCGACGGAGACGGCGGACCGTCGATGTCGATGGTGTTGTTCTGCGGAGAGACATCGGGCACGTCGTCTATCTTGCAGCAACTCCCAAAGTAGAAACTGTCGATGCAAGTCCCGAGGTGGGTACCGTTCGCTTTGGCGCAAGTCAATGCAAACATGCATATTCCGGTTTCGCCTGTTCTACGGGACACGCACATCAAGTGCCTGATGTTCCTTCCGGTACCTGATAAACATAGTTTTCGACTTTCAACACTCAACTACATCATCGTCCAACGAGTCAATTTGATTAAATTTTCACCAGTCCAGCGTACAATTATTGCAAGTATGTGTAATATTTTGATACGGAAACAATGAGCGCCAAGAGTAGCGGGATGAAAAACAAATAATGACTAATGTACGCCTTGGTATCTTTGAAAAAGGGTATTCATGTCAGAGCCAGAAGTGAGCATTGGAGGTACCGTTAAGTTTCAATGTATGAGCTAGTTGCTTGGGCGACAAAGTAGGTCACAGTCCCAGTATAATGTACTTGCTAAACTCTAGCTCGACTCGCATTTTCTTGTCACGCATTATTTGTTCACCGCCGTTTGTTTACAAGCCAATAATATACTTGCTTTGAAAATTAATTTCTACTTGAAACGCGTGCAATAATTGATATCCCAAAAGTTTTCGTTTGCATGTTGATACACGTGAATTATATTAACAGAGTAATTATTATCAAGTGCAACAGAAATAGTGTTTGCTGTTCAATAAAATGTATAAAACTACCGCGACATCAGTGAGCAATAATTATTGCAAAATAAATTTTACGAACAGCGTTTTGCTCGATAAATCTAATCGAGTCATTTTGGTAAGAAAATAATGGAGAGAAAAAAAAATCAAATTCGATCGTTAGAAGCAAAGTGCGAGGATAAAACGAGATGTTGTTTTGCCGAAAACTTGTTTCTATATGGGTTAATTGGTCACGTTGGGTCAGTGGGCGAAAAATGACTCTTTTGATTTGCATCCGAAAAATGTGTGCTAACGGAAACGTCGTCCATGAGTCACGCTTAAAAGGAAAGTATCGGTCAACTGTCAAGCGCGTATAACATTAGGCGCGTTAGAACCCACGAGGTCTGAACCACTTCAATAAAATCGTTATGCAAATGATGATGAATATGGATATTTGGTGGTCGTAAAATCAAGCGTCAAACTTACTTTCCGAGAGAATTTGTGGAACGAAAACAGGACTGGCCAGTGCTGTGTGGCAAAGCATGCAGCTGAAAATCAGAGCAACTACGCCGATACTTCTGTAGCGCCGCCTCATCTGAAAATATGCCGAAAACCTTTATAAGATGGAAATCATCGGTATTTGCTATTGTTGTTTATACATCTTTGATATTTTGATCGATTGACTTGTTAGTGATTGTAAAAAATTTCAAGGTATGGCTTTAACGGTACATCATCACGTACAATTGAAAATTTTGGATATTCGTGAATTGTAGCCATTAAAATGTTGATTGGTACAATATGTTGAAAATAAAATGTAAAAATTGGTGAAAAATAATAATAAATGCCACTTTGCTGAATACGTGAAAGTAGATTCAACGATATATAGCGCGACAAGGTGATGAGGCGCAAACCTGGCATTTCAAAAGTACCGCTATTCCTTACTGGATATACGCGGGTTGAGGCCCAACACACCAACTTTCCGCTTTACACGATACGTTTACGGTACATTGGCTGTCCGTAATATTACGCATCGGTCGTTATTTAAAAGAAACCCCGCCGCGAGATATACATACATACATACATACATACATACATACACGTGTGATACGGAATTATTGTTGTTGTGATTATTATTCCCACAGTCGAGACGCGACTGGTTTTCAAGAGGATCTTTTTTTTTTCTTTTTTTTTTCTTTCTTTCTTTTTTCCTCTTTCTTCCTCTTCTTTCACGAGTTACTGTTATACCGAGAACAAAAGTAATTATAAAGGAGGCGATCGAGATTTAATTGCCGATCCTCGTTTCACATCGTACCGTTCCTCTGTAATTGGCATATCGGCAGAAAAAGGCTTTCCCAAGTATTACGGGCACCGTCGAACAACGTACGTGGACGGGTAAACAAAATAAATGATAATAAAATGGAAATATCAACACAAACGGCTTACCTTGGCGATCGCGTTGTCAAATACTCGTGCAACAAATACAATATACTCGTTTCAGTTAAACCGAGCGTTGTATCGTCTTCTTCATGTTTTCCTCGTTGTTTTTATGGCAAAAGTCACCCAGCCCCTCAAAAGAGTACTCGTTGTCACTGGCCTCTTTCAATCTCATCCGTGTGTGCCACAACGCAGGTGACACGCGGAAGTTTCAAACTCTCGGCGACTTCACTGCACGTTATCGCGACGGATGATCGGTATCGCCGATCGTCGCACGTAGAAAAGAAGAAAACGAAAGGACGAACGGGAGGAAAAACAAAAACAAAAAATCGGTAAGGAGGAAACAGCACAAAGTGCACTGTTTCCGCGGAGCCGCCGTTGCTTTATCCGAGTAGAGGGAAGAAAAGAAGACGATGGTGAATAAGGGAAGAAGAAGATGATAAGGAAGATAAAGAGGAGGAGGAGGAGGAGGAAGAAGAAGAAACGCGCGTCGAGGTGGTGGGCCCTTGAGTGTTCGTGCCGTGGCGGTGGCGCATCTCTTGGCCGACAGGCGAGGTAGAGTGACGGACTGTGGGGTACGGCGGCCGGCGCGTCGACGACGGCATTCCACGGTCTTGGCCAACGTACCTTCGGAAACTACGCGTATACACGTTAACGCGCCGCGTTGTAACCCGCGCCGCTATATACGTTACGACCGCGCGAAAGAGAAGGAGGAGAGCGGCCGAGGTGGTGGCAATGACCGTTCCTCTCTTTCTCTCTTCTTCTTCTTCTTCTTCCTCCTCCTCCTCTCCTTGTGCTCATACATACCCATACCAAAGGCCTCCAAAGGCCGTCGGCAGCCTTGCATAGGTATACACAGCCGCTATCCCTCGAGTTTCCAGCTTGCACCAGCTTTTCCCATTGGCTCTACTATACACCCGAGTGCGTCTACACGTATAACTCTCTTTTACCTCACTTACGCGCATCTCTCTTTTTCTTCACTTGACTCTCCACATGCGCTTTTCTTCTTCTTCTTCCTTGGGTGATGTATACTATACTTGTACCACTACACCGCTGTCCTGCTTACATGGATCTCGTTAAGGATTTTTTTCTCCATCTCGTCTCGCTGGATCGACAGGTGCGTCGTATACGTGGATTTAGCGATCAATTTTTTGGTATTTTCGAAAACCCCTTAATGGCACAACCACGATGGATATCGAAAATTTGATTTTTTATTTAATATGGTAAAAGCGCGTCATGAATCGGAATACGAGATGACACACACATTTTTGTAATCCATGTTCGAGGATGTTGGGTATGGAATTCTCGGGTGTTGGCCCACGCGAGGTGCCCCATCTTTTCCCATATGAAATGAATAGACCAGCTCGAGGATTTACAACAAAGGAAAACTCATTTTACATCCTCGAGCTGCCGCTATAGAGTTTCATGTGATATATTTACATGCATCGCGACCAACGTGGTATTAACAATCGAATGAAAATTCTTGTAGTCTTGAAGAAGAAAAATTATTGTTATAATTGCGATGGCTATTTTCGTACATGGTTTCGAGACAAGGGATACATAAAAGTTGGCTCAAGTTATATTAAAAGTCGAAAGCCTATATATATATATACATCCAGGGATTCGAGATTAGCAACGATACGTGATAACTTGTTACGCGATGCACATATTGAACGAGGCTCAGCGGGAGATTTCCTTATTAATATTTTCATCCGATGTCAGATGCGTAACTATATTTTTCTCCGATGTATTTTTGTGTATTCTTCTTCGCCGATGAACTTTGGCATCTTGATTACTTGCGTCATCCGTGTATCGGTGAAAAAAAAAAAAAAAAAAAANAAGTTGAGCGAGAAAACGAGGATCCTGGCTAGCTTGGACCAAATGAAAAACGACTCCCTGGAGTACTTGAAGACCCAGAGGAACGCGCTGTCAGCCATGGGCGTGCTGTCCGCCGGTTGCTTCGTCAAAACCGACCTGGAAAGGATCCCCGACTACCCGGACATACAATTCACGTTCGACGGAACCAATGTCAAGGTGAGGGATTGTTACGCGCGTATAAGGTGTAGTTATTAAAAAAAAAAAAAAAAAAAAAATCATATGTGCTCCGAAGCAGAGGAGTGATTGGAAACGTAGTGTATATACCAAGGGATAAATGAGACGACCGGGGATTTAACTCCAGGATTGGCTGCGCGCCAAGTTCGCGCACCTGTGGGGTGTGCGTTGGAGGACCCTGTATACGTATACATCTCCCGGCTGCTCCCGGCATATATATACGGAAGTCGCAACGGCTTGGTCTATTAATCGTATAACGCGCTCGCAACTCTCTTCGAAGCTCACGGGGCACACGTAACTTTGCCTAACGTTATCACATCCATGTTTTTCTTTCGATGGGTTTCGAGATCGGAGTCCATTAGTATAACGAATTTCATGCGCTGGTAGTTTGTTTGATCGACTTTTTAACCGATTCTCAAGCGGCGAGTGCAAAAAATTTTGTTTTTTCATTTTTTCAAAGTTTGTACCCCTCCCTTCCCGGTTGAATCAATTTAATTTTGGTGCTTTTGTCGAGTGTCAAAAATCGGTGGTCGTTACTTGCATCTTCTCTTTATTTGGTTACTGGTAAGTGATTCAGATCATTCATTTCATTACGATAATTACCAAATCGATTTGTCAAAACGATATTTTTGTTACCCTACTTTTATAAAATTGCAATTACTTTGCTTCAACATTGAGGTACCGTTGAGAACGCATGTACAACTATTACTTTTCATAGCACATTAGTTGCACAAAACTGTAATACTTTTAAAAAATTATTATTTTTTATATATTTTAAGATGAACAAAAAAAAAGTAAAAATTCAGTGGGGAATTTTTATTGACATTGGTAAATGATACGTTAAAAAAGCCATGATAATCGATTTGTATACATCATCACCCTGATAATACCTACCACGTATTCGATAACGATGCAACTGTACGAAATCGTAAAAAAAAAAAAAAAAAAAATTCAGTGTAATGAAATTCTTGCATCTGCCAGTAGTACGCGCTATACATTTATCTACGCTTACTTTGGTTCTTAATCTATTTACCTTACCTGCGATAACGATTGGAATTGAAACGTCGGATTATCATAGAACTCACGCCAAGGGTTGACGATACTCATTTATATTAGACGCGTAAGCCCGACAAATGTCGTGTCATTGTATAATCCCGCTTTTCACGAAAGGGAGCCATACGGAGGCAACTTGTAAATTCATTCAAATTTGATAAAACATCCGTGTATTATTCCTGAGAAATTAATATAATGCAATGAAAGAATGGGCTGCATATAAATGTAAATCGATATGTACATTTTACAGTCCATGAGATAATTTATGAAAATTGTTATTACTATTAATGGAAATATTTAATAAAATGTATATTTTATACGACGTATTTAAGTATTAAAAAAAAAAAAACCAAAAAAATGAAAATTAATTGAATGCACTAATAGTATTGATCACAACCTATTGGTGACGACTATCGTATGGTGTGGCTCTCACGCTAATTAATTGCAAATCAGAGACAACTGTCATCAAATTATGTGATGGATTAACGCAAGCACCCCATAATAGCCATGTGTGTCGTGTGGGTGGAAAATAATGAACCGAACGGAAGCGAGAAATAGAAATTGCTATCACATCGTATCGCGAGAAATCATGTGTAAAATTCAAGATTAATTTACGTCGTCGATCAAAATCACGCGCATTCAGATTATCTTTATAAATATTTATGCAAGCTTTCACAAAATAACCACGCGTAGAAGTATGCAAATCGAAGTAAAAAACGCACTCGTTATTATTAAATAATTTTCTTTTTTTTTCTTTTCTTTTCAATAATTTTTATAAATAATCCAAAGTGTCGAATATTTATTAGATGTGTATGAATAATGCTGGTAAAAATACCTCTTTGCCGAATACAATGTCATTTTACAGTTTACAGTGATGAACAAACTGTCTTTTCAGATCAATAGATTGAAAAAAAAAAAAAAAAAA